AGAATATTTTTACAAAAATAATGAAATTTTGTTCTGTATGAAAAAAGAAATCATTCATGGAGAATTTAAAAGACATCTTTCAAAATAAAACTAGACTATAAGATAGACTATGCTATAAAATAGACTATAGACTAGAATATAAGCTAGACTATACACTAGACTATATACTAGACTATAGACTAGACTATAGACTATATTACAGGCTATACTATAGACTAGACTAAAGAATAGGCTACAGACTCCACTATAAAATAGACCCCACTATAAACTAGACTATAGACTAGACTATACTATAAGGTGTGTTTCAGAATTATAAGAACACTTTTTGTTATAATATTTTTCAGACGAGACTATATACTAGACTATAGACTAGACTATAGACTATACTACAGGCTATACTATAGACTACACTAAAGAATAGGCTACAGACTCCACTATAAAATAGACCCCACTATAAACTAGACTATAGACTAGACTATACTATAAGGTGTGTTTCAAAATTACAAGAACACTTTTTGTTATAATATTTTTCAGACGAGACTATATACTAGACTATATACTAGACTATAGACTAGATAATAGACTAGACTATAGACTAGACTATAGACTAGATAATAGACTAGACTATAGACTAGACTATAGACTAGACTATAGACTAGACTATAGACTAGACTATAGACTAGACTATAGACTAGACTATAGACTAGACTATAGACTAGACTATAGACTAGACTATAGACTAGACTATAGACTAGACTATAGACTAGACTATAGACTAGACTATAGACTAGACTATAGACGAGACTATAGACTAGACTTTAGACGAGACTATAGACTAGACTATAGACGAGACTATAGACTAGACTATAGACTAGACTATAGACTAGACTATAGACTAGACTATAGACTAGACTATAGACTAGACTATAGACTAGACTATAGACTAGACTATAGACTAGATATTGACTAGACTATAGACTAGACTATAGACTAGACTATAGACTAGACTATAGACTAGACTATAGACTAGACTATAGACTAGACTATAGACTGTATATATAGACTGGACTATAGACTAGACTGTAGACTATATATATAGACTAGACTATAGACTATATATATATACTAGACTATAGACTAGCCTATAGACTAGACTATAGACTAGACTATAGACTAGACTATAGACTAGACTATAGACTAGACTAGAGACTAGACTATAGACTAGACTATAGACGAGACTATAGACTAGACTATAGACTAGACTATAGACTAGACTAGACTAATAGACTAGACAATAGACTAGACTATAGACTAGACTATAGACTAGACTATAGACTAGACTATAGACTAGACTATAGACTAGACTATAGACTAGACTATAGACTAGACTATAGACTAGACTATAGACTAGACTATAGACTAGACTATAGACTAGACTATAGACTAGACTATAGACTAGACTATAGACTAGACTATAGACTAGACTATAGACTAGACTATAGACTAGACTATAGACTAGACTATAGACTAGACTATAGACTAGACTATAGACTAGACTATAGACTAGACTATAGACTAGACTATAGACTAGACTATAGACTAGACTATAGACTAGACTATAGACTAGACTATAGACTAGACTATAGACTAGACTATAGACTAGACTATAGACTACTATAGACTAGACTATAGACTAGACTATAGACTAGACTATAGACTAGACTATAGACTAGACTATAGACTAGACTATAGACTAGACTATAGACTAGACTATAGACTAGACTATAGACTAGACTATAGACTAGACTATAGACTAGACCTATAGACTAGACTATAGACTAGACTATAGACTAGACTATAGACTAGACTATAGACTAGACTATAGACTAGACTATAGACTAGACATAGACTAGACTATAGACTAGACTATAGACTAGATAATAGACTAGAATATAGACTAGACTATAGACTAGACTATAGACTAGACTATAGACTAGACTATAGACTAGACTATAGACTAGACGAGACTATAGACTAGACTATAGACTAGACTATAGACTATAGACTAGACTATAGACTAGACTATAGACTAGACTATAGACTAGACTATAGACTAGACTATAGACTAGACTATAGACTAGACTATAGACTAGACTATAGACTAGACTATAGACTAGACTATAGACTAGACTATAGACTAGACTATAGACTAGACTATAGACTAGACTATAGACTAGACTATAGACTAGACTATAGACTAGACTATAGACTAGACTATAGACTAGACTATAGACTAGACTATAGACTAGACTATAGACTAGACTATAGACTAGACTATAGACTAGACTATAGACTAGACTATACTATAGACTAAACTATAGACTAGACTATAGACTAGACTATAGACTAGACTATAGACTAGACTATAGACTAGACTATAGACTAGACTATAGACTAGACTATAGACTAGACTATAGACTAGACTATAGACTAGACTATAGACTAGACTATAGACTAGACTATAGACTAGACTATAGACTAGACTATAGACTTGAATATATTTTAAGAATTTATTTTTAAACCAAAATAACCCTAATTCTAGAGCATTATTAATTGCTAACGTTCATTAGCCTTAATTTTATTTTTAAAACACAATTTATTTGAAATGTTTTTTAAAAACTTAAATAATATAAAAAAATATTTAAACATTTATTATAATTATAAAAATATGTAATGTAAACTTTTAAAACTCATCATGATCATGATGATGATGATCATCAACATTTTGTCAGCAACATTAGCGGCACAGATGTGCGATTGCAACAGGCAAAACTATTTTGTTTTTTTCTAAATTGTATTCATTTACAAAAAACACACATTCTCATGCCTTTTTTTAAATAAAAAAATAAATAAATAAAATTGTATATTTTTTAGTGACAACATTTAGCATCTGCTGCCAACAAACCAGATTGTTTTGTTTTTTTTATACAAATTGTAATTTTTTTCTTAATTTTTTTTTATTGCTGCAATACTTGTACTCGCATTATTTTTATAAAAAATAAATAAAAAAATTAAATTACTTGTACACATTTATTTGCGTTTAATACTTAAAATGTTTTGCAAAAAAAAAAAAAAATTAACGAAAAAAAATATTTATGTATATTTATATGTGTATGGTAATTAAATGTTAAAAATTGCATCAGTTTATTTATTTTATTTTTTCTCTGCTGTTGTTTTTCAACAAAATGCATAAAAAGAAAAAATATATATATTTTATTTTTTGTCTTAAATAGTTGTGTGAGTTGGTTTTAAAGAGTACCCACCACATTAGTTGTCGTTTGAACATTTGCGTCAAATATTTCAATTTTATTTAAATTTTCAATACCCTACGTGTGAAAATTAAACATTTTGTTATAGATAGATAGATAGATAGATAGATAGATAGATAGATAGATAGATAGATGAGATAGATTAGATAGATAGATAGATAGATAGATAGATAGATAGATAGATAGATAGAGAGATAGATAATAGATAGATAGTAGATAGCTAGTATAGATAGATAGATTAGATATATAGGATAGATAGATCGATAGATAGATGCTAGATAGATAGATAGATAGATAGATAGATCGATAGCATTAGATAGATTAGATTAGATAGATCGATCGATCGCTAGATAGATTAGATAGACAGATTCGGATAGATTAGATATATAGCTAGATAGATAGATAATAGATCGATAGATAGATAGTAGAAGATAGTATATGATAGATAGATAGATGATAGATAGATAGATAGATAGATAGATAGATAGATAGATCGATAGATAGATAGATAGATAGATAGATAGATAGATAGATAGATAGATAGATAGATAGATAGATAGATAGATAGATAGATAGATAGATAGATAGATAGATAGATAGATAGATAGATAGATAGATAGATAAGATAGATAGATAAGATAGATAGATAGATAGATATGATAGATAGATAGATAGATAGATAGATAGATAGATAGATAGATAGATAGATAGATAGATAGATAGATAGATAGATAGATAGATAGAGATAGCTAGATAGATAGATAGATAGATAGATAGATAGATAGATAGATAGGATAGATTAGATATGAGCTAGATAGAATAGATAGATGATAGCTTAGATAGATAGATAGATAGCTAGATTAGATAGATAGATAGAAGATAGATAGATAGATAGATCGATAGATAGAGATAGATAGATAGAATAGATAGATAGGTAGAGTTGAACTAAGTTTAAACTGCCATTGCAGCGCTTTTTATAGTCGCTTTGCAGCATTTAAAAACCACAACTATTTAACATTAAAACAAATTCAACAAAAAGAACAACAAACAAATCTTTTGGATTCTTTTATAAAAAACCTGCATGCAAGTGTAGTTGTTTGTGTTTTTGGGTGTTGCTGACGAAAGATCTGCAGCAAATGGCAACAACAATAAGAATTCTTTATTAAAAAATTTCCTAAATTTATATTATAACACTATAAATAATAATGTGTTTTCATTTTAAGTTTTGTTTTGTTGTTTTGCCTTTGAATGCATCTTATACCGGCTGTTGTTGTTTTTTAAAATGGTTTTGAATGTTTTTATTTTTGAAAATTTTATGTGATTTTGAGTTTTCTTTTCTTTTTTTGTAGTCTTTGTCGTCATTTTGGCTCAGAGTTTGTTAATTTGTTGTTGTTATTATTGTTTTTTCTTTTGTATTGCATTTATTATTTCTATTTGTTGTTGCTGTTGTTGTAGTTTTTGTATTTTAGTGCAGCTAACAAACATGATTCGTATTGTTTTTGTTGTTTGGCATACGGTGGCTGAAGTGCTGCTATTTTGTGCTCCGTGCCTCCTAATCAGTGTGGGAACTTTGTGTTTTTCTTTTAATTTTGTCTTGTTCTTCTTCTTGTTTTGTTTTTCTTTTTCTTTTGTTTTTGTTTTCTGTTTTTTGTTCTTTATTACAAACGGCCCATATTCATTCTGAACGCTCACATCGTTCAGATCGGTTCAGTTTTTCAAAAACTGTCGGCGGTTCTAAACGCAATTGTTGGTCAAATTGAAAAATATAAAAAAGACGAAATATATTTCGGCGCGTATTTGTCTAGAAGTGTTTGATACTAGAAAAAATAATAAAATCTCAAGTGTTACGATTAAAATAATATAAAAAGAATCTTTTGCTATTTTCAATGTAAAAAAATATTTGAATTTTCTTTAAAATAAAAATTTATGTGTGAGTATGTATTTGTTTTTTAAGAAATGTAGAAAAATATGTGAACAAGGAAGTGTTGTTGATAAAAATAGAATGTGTAACCAAAATTATTCAAAAAATATCCTTTAACCTAAATAAAATTTTGTAAAATTTCTTAAAAAAATTTCAAAATTTTATGCTGAAAATAAATCATAAAATTTATTAAAAATTGTAAAATGAAATACATATTAAATTATGCGAAAGTTAATGACGAAATTCCTACAAGCAATTGAATTTGTAATCAAATAAAGTAGAATTTTCAATTTTATCAAAACTTATATACAAATTTCTGAATTTAAATAAAAATCACAATATAAATTTAAAATTAAGCAAAAAATATTGATATATGTAAATCCTGATTGAGAGCAATTATAAAATGATTTTATTTTATTTATTTTATAAATTTCGATTTGTTTTGGTCTGAAAAGATCACCCACTCAAAAAATTAAAAGTTTTAAAAAATATATAAAATTTAAATTGTACAGTATTGAAGTGTTTAATAGTAATACCCACTGATCATTATGAATATTAAAGAGTTTTTGAGATATCATGTCCTAAAAATTGTAAAAAATGTTATAAGACACCTTTATATATAAAATCGTTTACAACTCCTAAAAGTGCAATCAATTGGCTTTTAAATTAAGGTTTATCATCTATTATATCTTCTTCCTTCTTCGAGATTTAAGGTTTAAAATTTGTTATATCTTCTTCCTTCGCTCATTAAAGTTTTATAGTAAACTAAGATCAATATCGAATTTTGAACTTATACTTTGTAACTTTAGGTTACGATATCTCGAAGAAATGACAAGATTCAGATGATTTACCAGTTTTTATAAATAAAGGTGCTCTCGTGATGCTATAACGGCCAGAGTAATTCATTGATTTCTGGCACGAATTATCGCTGTAAATTTGGCTTGTGATCTACTTTTAGATTCTATAGAAAAACAAGTTAGAGTGCTATATTCGGCTATGCCGAATCTTAAATACCCTCCACCAGCAATCTACTTTTTATTGAAACCCATCTAACTATCTAATTTTTAGATAACTTGCCAAAATTTTTGTCGAACTAATTTTGATTAGGTCCAGAAAAATGTATATTAATACGCCAGTTCGAAAACATTTTAATATAATGATGTATCTATACACAGAATATGGGAGTTGTGACCAATTATGGGCTGATTAGGAAACAATTTCGTATAATGATTTTTATGCAGAAAAAGATCAAGTCTAATTTTACTCCAATAGCTTTATTAATCAATGAAATATGTGCGTTTAGGTGACTTTAGGAAGTGGACTTTATATAGGTGCTATGAGCAATTAAGGGCCTATCCGGAAAAATTTCGCAGGGTGATTCATATGTGCACAAATCATATTTTATCAAGATATCTTTATTTGATAATTAAATATGTGCGTTTAAGGGATTTTTTGAAGTGGATCTATTACCAAATATGGACCGATCCAGAAATGTTTGGTACAATGTTTTATATGCCTATCCACAAAAAATTTCGTAGAGTGATTTATGTAAAGACAAAACATATTTGTGTCGAATTTTCTCAAATTAACTTTATTTGACAATGAAATATGTGTGTTTAAGTGACTCTCAGAAGTGATTTTCGGAAGTGGGCTTTATGTGGGAACTATGACCAATTATGGGCCTATTCGGGAAACATTTCGCAGAGTGATTCCTATTTGGACAAAACATGTTTGTGTCGAATTTTATCAAGATAGCTTTATTTGATAATGAAATATGTGCTTTTAAGTGATTTTCGTAAGTGGACCTTATATGGGAGTTATGACCAATAATGGACCGACCAGTAAAAAATTTATAAAATGAATTGTACGTACACAAAATATATTCAAGGCGAATTTTATCCCAATAGCTTTAGAATTCAATGAAATATATGCGTTTAAGTGATTTTCGGATTTTTGGAGGGTATAAAAAATTATAAAATAGATCTGAGGTGACAAATTTTAAGGGATCATTCACTAGATGAAGCTTACAATTATAAATTATCTCGAAAACTCCAATTGTTCTCGCGATTATTTCAAAATATCGAATATCGATTATTTCTATAGTCTAGTCTATAGTCTACAAAGAGGGAAATATAAAATATACACGCCCTGGTACCAAATTGACACAAATTTTTCAATAACATCCGTTGTCACGTAGACTATAGTCTAGTCTGTAGTCTAGTATATAGTCTAGTATATAGTTTAGTCTATAATCTAGTCTATAGTCTAGTCTATAGTCTAGTCTATAGTCTTAGTCTATAGTCTAGTCTATAGTCTAGTCTATAGTCTAGTCTATAGTCTAGTCTATAGTCTAGTCTATAGTCTAGTCTATAGTCTAGTCTATAGGTCTAGTCTATAGTCTAGTCTATAGTCTAGTCTATAGTCTAGTCTATAGTCTAGTCTATAGTCTAGTCTATAGTCTAATCTAGTCTATAGTCTAGTCTATAGTCTAGTCTATAGTCTAGTCTATAGTCTAGTCTATAGTCTAGTCTATAGTCTAGTCTATAGTCTAGTCTATAGTCTAGTCTATAGTCTAGTCTATAGTCTAGTCTATAGTCTAGTCTATAGTCTAGTCTATAGTCTAGTCTATAGTCTAGTCTATAGTCTAGTCTATAGTCTAGTCTATAGTCTAGTCTATAGTCTAGTCTATAGTCTAGTCTATAGTCTAGTCTATAGTCTAGTCTATAGTCTAGTCTATAGTCTAGTCTATAGTCTAGTCTATAGTCTAGTCTATAGTCTAGTCTATAGTCTAGTCTATAGTCTAGTCTATAGTCTAGTCTATAGTCTAGTCTATAGTCTAGTCTATAGTCTAGTCTATAGTCTAGTCTATAGTCTAGTCTAGTCTAGTCTATTAGTCTAGTCTATAGTCTAGTCTATAGTCTAGTCTAGTCTAGTCTAGTCTAGTCTAGTCTAGTCTAGTCTAGTCTAGTATAGTCTAGTCTATAGTCTAGTCTATAGTCTAGTCTATAGTCTAGTCTATAGTCTAGTCTATAGTCTAGTCTATAGTCTAGTCTATAGTCTAGTCTATAGTCTAGTCTATAGTCTAGTCTATAGTCTAGTCTATAGTCTAGTCTATAGTCTAGTCTATAGTCTAGTCTATAGTCTAGTCTATAGTCTAGTCTATAGTCTAGTCTATAGTCTAGTCTATAGTCTAGTCTATAGTCTAGTCTATAGGTCTAGTCTATAGTCTAGTCTATAGTCTAGTCTATAGTCTAGTCTATAGTCTAGTCTATAGTCTAGTCTATAGTCTAGTCTATAGTCTAGTCTATAGTCTAGTCTATAGTCTAGTCTATAGTCTAGTCTATAGTCTAGTCTATAGTCTAGTCTATAGTCTAGTCTATAGTCTAGTCTATAGTCTAGTCTATAGTCTAGTCTATAGTCTAGTCTATAGTCTAGTCTATAGTCTATAGTCTAGTCTATAGTCTAGTCTATAGTCTAGTCTATAGTCTAGTCTATAGTCTAGTCTATAGTCTAGTCTATAGTCTAGTCTATAGTCTAGTCTATAGTCTAGTCTATAGTCTAGTCTATAGTCTAGTCTATAGTCTAGTCTATAGTCTAGTCTATAGTCTAGTCTATAGTCTAGTCTATAGTCTAGTCTATAGTCTAGTCTATAGTCTAGTCTATAGTCTAGTCTATAGTCTAGTCTATAGTCTAGTCTATAGTCTAGTCTATAGTCTAGTCTATAGTCTAGTCTATAGTCTAGTCTATAGTCTAGTCTATAGTCTAGTCTATAGTCTAGTCTACAGTCTAGTCTATAGTCTAGTATATAGTCTAGTCTACAGTCTAGTCTATAGTAGTATATAGTCTAGTCTATAGTCTAGTCTATAGTCTAGTCTATAGTCTAGTCTATAGTCTGGTCTATATTCTAGTCTATAGTCTAGTCTATAGTCTAGTCTATAGTCTAGTCTCTAGTCTAGTCTATAGTCTAGTCTATAGTCTAGTCTATAGTCTAGTCTATAGTCTAGTCTCTAGTCTATAGTCTAGTCTATAGTCTAGTCTATAGTCTAGTCTATAGTCTAGTCTATAGTCTAGTCTATAGTCTAGTCTATAGTCTAGTCTATAGTCTAGTCTATAGTCTAGTCTATAGTCTAGTCTATAGTCTAGTCTATAGTCTAGTCTATAGTCTAGTCTATAGTCTAGTCTATAGTCTAGTCTATAGTCTAGTCTATAGTCTAGTCTATAGTCTAGTCTATAGTCTAGTCTATAGTCTAGTCTATAGTCTAGTCTATAGTCTAGTCTATAGTCTAGTCTATAGTCTAGTCTATAGTCTAGTCTATAGTCTAGTCTATAGTCTAGTCTATAGTCTAGTCTATAAGTCAGACGAATGTCGATCATTTGAAGAGGACATTTAAACCCTGGAACACTTTCTTTGCCATTTTGTCACTATGTCCGGAAAATAGTTTCTGAATATCAGAGCACTATAAAATATTCTTCCCACTAATATTTTCCATGTAAAGGAGCGCACTGCTATCGGGTTAAAGCTTTCTAGGGCAGTTTCTTCATGTTAGCTGCATCCTACTTTCAACATAACTTAACTTTTAAATTGGGGAAACTTCCTTAATGTTTTTAAATCCTTAATATAATTAAAAGAGTATTTCTGATGACATTTTATCTAAAATATGTAGATAATTCCCCTTTTACATTAAGGAAGTAATTAAATACTTTAACCCAAAAAAAATCCACTTAAAATTTTTGTTTAAAAAAATTTCAAAACTCTTCAAGTGTTTTTATAAATTAACAAGATTACTTGTTTTCTTGTTGAAATAAATTTATATAAAAAATATGAAACATTTAACATAAAAAAAATCTGATTTCAATTGAAAATGCATTTAGTCATATGCCAAGAATAACATTTTCAAAAAGTTTCCATTAAATTATCATACACTGTATGTGGTGAAGTATGTCGTATATTAGTCGCCATTTTTCATTATCTTAGACAAAAAAAAAAAATAACAAAAAAAAAAAAAAAA